CCCGCCCGTTGCTCTCCGTGAGCTTTCCGTTAGCGACAAAGCCGAGGAGCAGAGTTCAGCCGTAGGCTCACCAGCCAATCGGTTTAATTAATCAAAATCTGGCGTAACAGCGGCTACCCAGCCGAGAACCTCAAATCAGCTCAAACCATAAACCGTGTGTCCAGAACCTGAAGTACGCCTGCAAACACACACCGCAGCCACACTTTCTCCTCCTTTACGTTCTCACACCACCGCCGCCTTTGCCCGGCCGGGGCTCCGCGCTGGGTCACTCGCAGCCCTGAGGGGCCGGGCCGGGCGGGGCGCGCGGGCGGCGGTTACGCGCGGCCGTTGGCGGCGGCGCGCGGCGCGCTCGGGCAGCGCTCGGCCGGGCTGAGGGGCCGCGCGTCCCCTCCCGCCCCTCCCGCCCGGCCCCGCCCGGCCCGCCCGGCCCGCCCGGCCCGCCCGGCCCCGCCCGGCCCCGCCCGGCCCCGCCCGGCCCCGCCGCCGTCCGGGCGCTGTCTCAGGGGGTGCCAGGCCGCAGAGTGCCCGCAGCCTCCCCGCCGAGGCCGGGCCGGGGACAGGTGAAGGCCGTTTGTCGTGAGCAGCTGTGCTGGAGGGGGAGGGAGGGGCTCAGCCGGGGTGGGGAGACGTGGTCAGGGTGTCAGGTACCCCGCCAGCAGCAGCTTGCTCCCCACTCTGTTACCTCGCCAATCAGTGTTAAGTGCAATTTTTTTCTGCCTTTGGGTTTGTTTTTTTTCTTTTTTTTGTTTTTTTTTTTTAAATTGATAGTACTGACAATTGTTGAAGGTTTTATGGTTTTCTGTTGAAAGGGACATTGGTAACTGATTAGGTTTGCTGTAGCCATGTCAGGATCAGCCCCCGAGGAGCCTCAGACCATTCCTCAGAGCCCAGCTAGTGCTCCTGACCCCGCTCCCGTTGCTGTCGGACCTGCAGGCTCAAGTGACAGTTCCTTTGGTGAGCAAAACCTTGGCTTCGCCACCCCCGAGGCCAGCCTGGTGGAGATGATGGACATTGAGTACACCCAGCTGCAGCACATACTTTGCTCGCACACGGAGGCGCAGAGTAGCGAAGGTGAAGTGGAAGCCAGGCTCAGCACTTTCTCCTCGCCTGGCCCCTCTGCAGACCCCCCTCTGCAGCAGCCCTCCCCCAGCACCAGTCAGGACGGGGGCTCATCCAACAGCTCTGGGAACCAGTCGGTCTGCCCAGTGACCTGTCAGTCAGGGTTGCCTTGTGACAGCTACTGGCTGAGTTCTAACCCGCACCTGGGCTATGCTGACTTGCAGGAGCTCAGGATGATGTTACTTAGCGAGTCCAACCTCCCCGCGAACCAGAGAGAGAAAGCGCCCAACAGCAGTAGCTCTGTAGAAGTCTCGGGATGCAGTGTAGCAAAAGCTAAACAGGGTGAAAATTTCTTGGGGGAGAATAAGGAAAACGTATTTGTTGAAAATTTGGCACTGGCACCAGAGGTTAGATCTAAACCTGCAGTCAGAGCTCGGTTGGAAGACAGATTCAACAGCAGCCCGACAGAAAACCCCAGATGTCAAGAACCCCAAGAATCTGGAGTAACTCTTAACAAGTGTGTTGCAATTACTTTTGGTTTATGTTGTTAAAGTATGTATCATGTAGTTCAAAAGTGATTTGCTAAGTGAAACCTGTGAATAGTGCTTGTTTTAATATATGAGAAAGATGGGCTGGGCTTTGTTAAACTGTGCCATCAAACATGGCTGCGACTCTGCTGAGCTCAGCTTAGGCCCTTCTGTTTATTACATAAATGGTACAGCATGGGGTTCCAAAATTAATTACTTTACAACTTTATTCTTGATAACATGTACTGTAAATAAAGTTGACAGAACATTACCTAGTTTTAATATGCAGCTTGCTAAAAGCAAAGTAGATTTTTGATAATAATAAAAATAATAATAATAATGATAGATTCGGGTTATAATGTGGAGGCCTGACTATGGGGAAAACTGGAGCAAAAATATTGTTTTACAACCTAACCCTGTACCTATCTTAATGTGCTGACAAAAATGTTTTATTGAGGTGTGAAGCACCTTGTTATTGCACAGAATAAAATACCTCCTTGGCTGGTTTTTCTTTTCTTTTATTTGGCCCCTGAAGTGGGCAATACAGCAATAACAGTGATTTCTGTTTACAGTAAATGAAAGTGGTTTCTTGGTGATAGTTTCTAGATTATTTGTAGCTGTACTTTATTTCTGCACTCATTTCCAAGCAGTCAGCCTGGTATGTTTTCTGTGTTTGTTTGTTTTTGTCTGAAGTTTAGTGACATTGATACGCCGGCCCTCAGAAGTGGTGGGTGTTCCTCTTCACCAGCAAGGGAACAGGTGTGCTGCACTAGGGAAAAATAAGGCTGCACCTGCCACACATTCCTTACCATTTACTTACCCGTTCTTTACCATGAATGCATGTTCTGCTGCTGGAAGTGCTAATCCTTCCCAAGCACAGGTAACTCCTCTGCCCAGTTCCAATGCTGACAGTATTAACTTCCTGGGTGTAGTAGAATTCTGAAGGTTTGTGGTAGAGTATGGCTGAATAGGGATGATCAGAATGATCAGTAATGCAATTTATGTGTTAATCTTTAAGACAATAGAGTCACTTTTGTGGCATTTGTAATTACGTGTGTCCCGGCAAAGAGCAGTAGGCCATCAGATTTCTTTTTTCCTAGAGTTTATCAGTTTATAATCTGTTTCATCTGTGCAAGACAAGAGACAATTTTTTGTAGTTCCTTTCTTTCTAATTAATTTTGATGATAGAGGCATTTCCCCCACCACAACTTGCAGTAACCTCTGAAGCAAAAGTGATAGCATGGCACTGAGAAATGTCAGAGGTATCCCCAAAATTCATCACTGTCAAAACCCCATGGTTGTGTGTATTTGGGATTTATCCTGCCTGAAGAAGTAATATAAGAAGCTAGCAGAAAGATATAAAAGTAGTAGACTATGTTCTAATAAAGAAAATACTCCAGTACCTCCTTTTTTTTTTTAACACAGACCTGTGGAACATCTTGCACTATTTTGGAAGCTGCAAAACATCAAGACCTT